TGATCTTACTTTCAAGCTCATTGTTGGTCTTGGATATAAGACTATTTTCGTTTTTCAATTTTGAAATATCATTTTTGTATTTTGAAAATAGAGTCTTATAATCCGAAGCCAACCCATTATAATCCTCTAATAACTCATCATAAGATAATTCGTCCAAATCGAATGAGTTAGAGGTTACCTTAGAATCTTCCCCGATAGCTATCAAGCACAAGTTTGCAACTTCTTGTTCCTCTTCATCGGAACCTTCTTCATCGCTCCATGTAGCTACATGAGCCTTGTGCTTCTTTTTGGATTGACCATTTTTCTTCAATTGAGGGCAATCATATTTGACATGCCCTAGCCTTTTGCATTCATACCAAATGATCGGGTCTTTCTCTTTCGATTCAGTTTTGAAGCCTTCATGACGTTTGAATTTTCTTCCTCGGTTGGGCATCATCAACTTTCTGAATCGGTTGGCAAATAATGTCATTTCCTCGTCATCATCATCGTCATTTGAATCACTCTCATCTTTTGTGGATTTGAGAGCAACTCCAATGTTTTTCTTCTTCTCTTTCTCCTTTGGTGTCTCGTCAATCTTATCGAGATCCACTTCATCTTCAAGCATCATTTCATGAGTGAGAAGAGAACCAATTAGTTCTTCAAGAGTTAAGGACGTTAGATCCTTAGACTCGATGATTGCCGTCTTCTTTGATTGCCACGATTTTGGAAGGGAGTAGACTAACTTCCTCACAAGCTTTTCATTTAAAATGATCTCTCCATATGATTTGAGACCATTGACAATCGTTGAAAATATATCCATCATAGCTTTGATATCTTCATTTGGTTTCATCCTGAAATTTTCATAGCTATGCGTTAGAATACTAATTTTAGATTTCTTTACCTCATCGGTACCTTCATGAGTGACTTGAAGTTTGTCCCATATTTCTTTAGCGGTTGTACAAGATGAAACTCTTCCGTATTCATCTGGTCCAAGAGCACAAAATATGATATGGATGGCTTTGGAGTTGAGTTGGAACATTTTTGTCTCTCCTTCACTCCACAATCTTGGATGCTTGATGTATCCTTCTTTCACGACATTCCATGCTCCCATGTCACTTGCTTGAATGAAGTACATCATCCTATTTTTCCAATAGGCATAGTTAGCCCCATTGAAGAAAGGAGGCTTGTTAACGGGCATCGAATCGAGACCGGAGTCGAAGTTTGAAGTAGAGGCCATTGATGACTTTGATTATCGATGTAACTCTTCCCGAATCGACTTAAGAGGCGATTAAACCTTCAAATGAGTTAGGCTCTGATGCCAATTGTTGAGTTAATCGATTGACAGAATCGGCCAAGAGGGGGTGAATTGGCAATTAAAATTTTATGGAAGCTTTTGCAGAAAATTGAAAGTAATTGCACAGCGATTTAGAGTGGTTCGACTTTATCAATCAAAGTCTACGTCCACTACCTTAGCTATCCACACTAAGGATTTTCCAACAAATTCACTAATTTGTTCTTTCTTTTGAGGCTAAAGATATAACCTTACAACTCCCTCAAGAATATACCCCAATTCTTGAGAACACTCTTTTCTCAAAGAGAAGATTACAAATTTGCAAACTTACAAGAAAAACCTCACAAGGCAAATATGTTTGCACAATTATAGAACAAAGAAAGAACACTCAAGAATAAATACAATTGAGCACAATAAGTGTTATTGAAAGCAAAATGAATATTGAATGAAAAATAGGCTTGAAATGCTCAAACTTGAGGTTTGATGCTTTCTCTTTGATTCTCTCTTGATTCTAGTTGCTTGATGTTTCTTGTTATTGATCAATGGCTTCTAAGCTTGTTTAAATACACCTTGAATCACTTCTGAACGTTGGGGATCATTAATGAAGTTATTGGAGCTGTTTAAGTGTGAAAACAATTAATACAACAGCTTGGAGCGTGGGGGGAATCGGTACCCCTCATGGGGAATCGGTTCCCTAAGTGTAAAATTCAAATATTTCGACCGTTGAACAGTGGGGGGAATCGATACCCCTGGGGGGAATCGGTTCCCTCCGAGCATACTGAAATTTCTCGAAGCCAAACCATTCAGGGGGAATCGGTACCCCCTTGGGGGAAATCGGTTCCCTCTGGACAAACTGTAATTTTTGGCTTTGAAACGGTTCGAAATACTTTGTAAAATTGTTTTGAAATTATTTTAAGATTAAAACTTAATTTTACACTTCAGTAAGGATTTAAAATGAACTTTGAAATACTTTGAGTAATTTTTGATATTCGATTTAATATATCGAATATGCTTAGAAAAATCATTTTCAAAATTAAAATTCTTTTAATTTAATTTGTTATATCGAAACAACAAAATGTTTTCAACAACCTTAAATTGAAGTATTTTAGAATTTGGGGTTTAGAATTTAATTGAATTTTTTGGAATTTAGGGTTTAGAATGAAATTGAATTACTTTGGAAATTGGGGTTTAGAATGAAATTGAGGACTATTTTACAAGTTTTAAAAGTTGAGAGACCTAAATTCAAGTGCCTGAAAAGTTCAATGACCGTTTATATAATTTACCATAATTTTCTAACGGTGGTTTAAGTTGGGGACCATATTGCAAACGGAATAAATGTTGGGGGACTGTATTGCAAGTTTTAAAAGTTGGGGGACCTAAATGCAAGCTTTAGAAATGTTCAGTGACCATTACTATACTTTACCCTTAAAACAATTAATGATAATATTAGCATGTCACTATAAAATAATAGTTAATGGATGAGTAACCTAAAAGTAACTTTATAAAATGCGAGCAATCATATTATAGTTTTCCTTAGGGTCTGTTTGTTTGTCGTAAAATGAATTACGGAATTGGTTTTCCTCGAAATCCCGTGTTTGTTTCATGTAATTCGTTTTTCAGAAAATGTTTTCCCGTGTTTGGTTGGAGGAAAACTGGTTGGTCAACGTAATTCATTTTCCTAGTCAACAGAATTTCCTTTGTGTTTTTTCGAAAATGACTTACGGTTTGATTTTCCGTAAGTCATTTTTCAAACTTTTCACTTCAAAGAATAAATACTCAAAATAATTTTATTTTATGAATTTAATATTAATAAAATATTTTAATATCATTTTCATCAAAATATTAATTATTAAAATATTTAAAATATATTTATTAATATTTATAATATTATAATATTATATTTTTAATATTATAATAAAATAATCAATTATATTATAATAATATAAGATATTATATTTTTATTTTAATAAATATATAATAATTTTTTATATATTTAATAATGAATAATATTATTTATATATTTAATATTAATATAATAATCTAAAGATATTTTAATAAAGATAATTAAAATATACTAATTAATACTTTTAAAATATATATAACACTATTATTTTAATAATAATTAATATAATTTATAATATTTTTATTTCACTAAAATATACCAAAATTAATATTTTTATTAATAAAATTATATAAATAATATTTAATAATAAATAAATTATTTTAATATTTTAAAAATAATATTAAGTTTTATGATAAATAAATTATTTATTGTATTTAATATTTGTAATAAATAATTTTTAAAAACTCATCAACTAGTGGAAAAAATGTTTAAATAACATCTTCCAAACATCATAAAACGATTTCCATATGTTTTTCAGAAAAATGTAATTCATTTTACGGAAAATATTTTTCGGAATCCGAAAAACGTTTTCCAGAAATATAATTCATTTTCCAAAATTCAAATTCCAGTAATTCATTTTCCAGTAATTCAAATTACAGTAACTGTTTGTTTAGCTGTAATTGGTTTTCTGGAAATTGAATTCTGGAAAATGAATTACTGGAATTTGAATTCTGGAAAATGAATTACATTTCAAGAAAACGTTTTCCGGAAAATATTTTCCGTAAAATGAATTACATTTTTCTGAAAAACATCTGGAAAACGTTTTACGATGCTTAGAAGATGTTGTTTACATCTTTTTTCTACTAGTTAATGAGTTTTTTAAAAATTATTTATTACAAATATTAAATACAATAAATAATATTATTTATCATAAAATTTAATATTATTATTTTTAAAATATTAAAATAATTTATTTATTATTAAATATTATTTTTATAATTTTATTATTAATATTGGTATATTTTATTGAAATAAAAATATTATAAATTATATTAATTATTTATTAAAGTAATAGTGTTATATTATATTTTAAAAATATTAATTAGTATATTTTAAATATCTTTACTAAAATATTATTAGATTATTATATTAATATTAAATATATAAATAATATTATTCATTATTAATAATTTAATAATATTATTTCTATGAAATTAATAAATAATATAAATTTTATTAATAATTTATTATATATTATTAAAAGAAAAATATAATATCTTATATTATTATAATATAATTGATTATTTTATTATATTATTAAAAATATAATATTATATTATTAGAAATATTAATAAATATATTTTAAATATTTTAATAATTAAAATTTTGATTAAAATGATATTAAAATATTTTATTAATATTAAATTCAAAAAATAAAATTATTTTGAGTATTTATTCTTTGAAGTGAAAAGTTCGAAAAATGACTTACGAAAAATTAGATCGTAAGTTATTTTTCAGAAAACACAAAGGAAATTCTGTTGACCATGAAAATGTTTTACGTTGACCAACCAGTTTTCCTCCAATCAAACATTGGAAAACATTTTTCAAAAAACGAATTAGATGAAATAAACACGGGAAAATATTTTTCGGAAAACGAATTACGTGAAACAAACACGAGATTTCGAGGAAAACAATTCTGTAATTCATTTTACGTCAAACAAACAGACCTAATTCATTTTTCAAAAAACTAATTACAGCAAAAAAACAGACTTAGTTAAGTAGCAAGAATAAAAATCTTACAAATAGTTTAGTGACTATTAATGTAGTTTACTCATTTTGAATTTGTTTTCTTCGTGAAGTTAATTTCTTTCCAAGGTGTTGGCTTACAAAAAAATAGAAGAGACCAAAGAGAGACCGGTTGGTAGCTAATCGTGTTCTTCATTCTTCTTCAGCGACATCGTCTCCTTTAGGTAACAACACTACCATTTTCCTTTCCTTAATTTTCTTAGTTCTCTTGTTTTATGCAATTTCTGATTCTGATTATAACTTAATCGAAATTTATCTTCACCTCTTCCAATTTATTGATTTCCTTTATTTCCTACTTCAATCTGTAACCTCCATTATTTTCCTCCTCTGCTTCCAATTCTAGGGTTCCGATCGATACGAAATACGATATATTTTTTATTGATCAATTATAGGAAAATTTGGTGTCTTTCTTAAATGACGAGTGCGGGCGACGAGGAAGTCGATGCGGTGCTCAGCGACGTGGAGTCCGATGAGCCGGTACCGATCGCTATTAAAGATCCATCTCAAGAGGATGTATCGGTCGAGAAATTCCGTGAAATTCTCGCGGAGCTTGATCGGGAGAAAGAAGCACGACAAGCCGAGGAGAAATCTAAATCAGAACTTCAAGTTTCGTTTAATCGATTAAAAGCTTTGGCTCACGAGGCGATTAAGAAGCGAGACGAGTGTGGGAGACAACGAGATGAAGCTCTCCGCGAGAAAGAAGAAGCTTCGAAATCGAACGAGAGCTTAACAGCGCAATTAGCGGAAGCTAATAAGATCAAAGAGGAGGTTACGAAACAAAGAGAAGATTTGGCGAAGCAATTGGAGGAAGCGTCCAAGGGAAAAGATGGATTGCGATCGGAGATCGAGACCTCTGCACATATGCTTGTATCTGGTATCGAAAAAATTTCTGGAAAAGTTAATAATTTCAAAAACTTCTCTGCCGGAGGATTGCCACGGTCACAAAAGTACGCCGGTTTGCCCTCTGTTGCTTATGGGGTGATCAAAAGAACGAACGAGATTGTTGAAGAGCTTGTTAAACAGATCGAAACCACAACTAAATCTAGAAATGAAGCCAGAGAACAGATAGAGCAACGTAATTATGAAATTGCCATTGAAGTTTCTCAGCTTGAAGCCACAATAAGTGGGTTACGAGAGGAGGTGGCAAAGAAAACTAATATAATGAAAATTTAGAGAAGAGTATAGTTGAAAAGGATGGGAAGATTGTGGTGATTGAAAAAGAGATGTTGGAGAAGATTACTTCGGCAGAGGATGAATTAATGGAGTTGAGGAGCTTGACAAGTGAATATGATGATAGATTGAAAGATTGGCAAATGAAGATGGAGTTACAGAGGCCTTTATTGGTCGAACAGTTGAATTTCGTTTCTGGAATTCATGAATGATTTATGATGTCATTAAGATTGTTGATGCTGATAATATGGATCAATCAGTTGTATCAGAATCCTTTTTTCTTCCACAAGAAACAGATTCGGAGGAAAATATACGTGCTTGTTTGGCAGGGATGGAGTCTATCTATGAATTAACCGGAATTCTGTCCGGGAAAATAAAGGACCTAGTTGAGGAAAAAAATCGTGAAGTAAAGAGTTTGAATGTAACAGTTGCTCGTTTGATTAAGGAGAGAGAACATATTGGCTCTTTGCTTAGGAGTGCATTGTCCAGGAGGATGGTATCTGAAAATAAGTCCAAAACCAATGAGTTGTTTCAAACTGCTGAGAATGGTCTGAGAGAGGCTGGAATTGACTTCAAATTTAGTAAACATATCGGTGATGGAAATAAATCTGAAGATCTGGACTCTGACCAGGATGAAATATACACTCTGGTGAGATTTTTTTCTGCTGCCATTGATTAGTTACATGTACTCTTTAAATTTGCATGGTGTTTCAAGGCCATATCTTTCCCGTTGAGAATCTATGGTGCCATTTGACAGGCTGGTGCTTTAGAGAATATTGTCAAAACATCCCAGCTTGAGATCATCGAACTACAGCACTCTGTGGAGGAATTAAGGTACCTGATTTTTGGACTCATGAAATTGCATACATTCAATATGTAAATCCTGTTTTTGTCTGGAATGATCAAAGCAACTTTAGTAGTGAAATAGTTTAGTATAACATACGGTTTTTCTGCATGAACTGAACTGTGTACTGTTTTAACGTATTAAGGGAAGAGTCTAGTGTACTTAAAGAACATGTGGAAGCTCAAGCCAAGGAGCTCAACCAAAGAATGCGTCATATAGAGGAGCTTGAAGAGAAGGAGAGATTAGCAAATGAAAGTGTAAGTTAACATTGTCTTTTCTTACAGTCAACTGACTTAATGTTAGGTCCGATTGTCTGAGTACAGTTTTCAGATTCTTATGTTGATTTTTGGGGTTAGAAGTGAGTAAGTTGCATTCATGCTGCCTTGTGTACACGTAGTGCTGAATTAACTAATTCATGTGAAGGTTGAAGGACTTATGACGGACATTGCTGCTGCAGAGGAAGAAATTACAAGATGGAAATCAGCAGCTGAGCAGGAGGCAGCTGCAGGAAGAGCTGTAGAACAAGAGTTCTTAGCACAGGTTTGTTCTCTAAGATGCTCCTGGTCTTTCAATAGATATTATAGATCTGTTTTTGTGAACTGTTATTGAAGGTCTTTGTGGTGGCAGTTTTACTTTTGTGTAATAATCATCTTGAAGTTCTGCCAGAATGGTAATTACAATTTAGCCGAAGAATCTGGAGTTATTTGAATCTTAATACATAACAGATAGACAATAACAAAAGCGATTAATGTTAAAGAATAATATGCCATAAGAATAGAAATTTATCGTCAAGCATGTTTGGATTGTAAAATGAAATTTAAAACAAAAATTTCCAGTATCATATTTGAAAGGGAGGCAGTTGTTTGCTGGACATATTGTATGTGACAATATGTTTGGATAACTTACAGTTGTATAACATTTCCATATGGCATAAGCTGGAGAAACTGACAGTAAGAGCTTAAAAAGAGATTTTTTTTGTTTCTTTTTGAGGATTATGTTTCATAAGAAGAATTATCAAATAAACCAACCTGATGACTAATTGCATTTCAGGAAATTATTTATTTTTCTGTAATCCTTGAACAAAGAAGGTACTATGAAAACATGGATGTCAAGTATGTCCATTGAAATTTACGATTAGAACTGGTGAACAGATCTAGGTTCTAGTATATCGTGAACAATGAGGGAAGTAGTTATATAAATTAACTTATTTCTTCCTCTTTTTCTTCTTTTTTCTTTTAAAAATTGAGAAAAATTTTGGAAATGTTTTAAAAGCATAAAGTTGTGCTAGTAATTTGATGTTCGTGAGGCTTTTATCTTAGTCTATTTCTCATTACAGAATATCCTGTGCTTACTCCTAATTATCATGGTTTAATAAATATCCACAGCTATCAGCAATTAAACTGGAGCTTGAAGAGGCAAAGCAAGCCATGTTGGAATCAGAGAAGAAACTAAAATTCAAAGAAGAAACTGCTGCTGCTGCCATGGCAGCAAGAGATGCAGCTGAGAAATCATTGAGGCTGGCAGATATGAGTGCGACTAGGCTGAGGGAAAGAGTGGAGGAGCTTACCCGTCAGCTAGAAGAGTTCGAATCACAAGAAGACTCAAGGAGTCGGAATCGATCGAGATATGTTTGTTGGCCATGGCAGTGGCTTGGGCTGGATTTTGTTGGGTTTCATAAACCAGATATACCACAACAGAGTTCAAATGAAATGGAGCTTTCCGAACCACTTCTCTGAGTATACTTTTACTCTTTGTTCTGTGTACAATCTGTTCATAGTAACTTCATTCTTCAAGGCCCCTTCATTTGCAATGATTTTTTCAGTTTTATAATTTTGACATGGCAATGATATCCTAGAGTTGAATCTTTCTTGTTCATACTTCCATGGCAGCCAGTCTTTTTAATCAAGCTAATCTATATGTAACTATCTTGGTTTCCTTTTCAAATCTGTTTTCTTGTTATTATCACTGTTGGATTTTACCCTTTTTCATTTCTTTTCCCCTCTTTCAACCTCTCTACATTTCAGGGCTTTGATCATCATTGAGAGATGCCTTTTTGCTGTTCATTTCTAACCATTTGGACAGGTGAGTAAGAGCAACTGATAAACTCAGTCTGTTTTCCGGTTTGGCAAATAAAAAGTGGAACATAATCGTCTCTCTTCTCACCTGTCGCAATTGGGAGTTTGATCAATGGGCTGATTTCTTGGCAACAATTAATAATATAAGTCTCTCGTTAGGGTGTTATTAGATGGGTTGCTAGGACAGCTAACTTAGAGGCTGATGCCTTAGCTAAGGCTGGAATAGGTTGAGTAGAGTGTTGATGTTAGGATTTTTTTTTTGGTTTCCAAGTTAGTTTGTAAGGGGTCATTATTGGTGTTGTAATCTTTATGTATCTGTTTTATCATTATTGAAATCTAAGGCACTATTTTCCTCTTTCCGTTAATTAAGGAGCTTCTCTACGAGCTCCATTAATCATGAATGGGATTTTTAACGAGGCCTTCAATTCTTATAAAAAAATATATATGTCTCGGAAAATTCGAGAGATAATCTAATTTGGAGAGGAAATGTGGAGGTATTTACTCAGTTAGCTCTTGTATGAAATGTGCTCCATAGATTCAGATTTAGATCATTTTTAGAAGGGTTACCTTTGGAAGGGGTTGGTGCCTCTAAGGGTGGAAACTTTCATGTGACAAGTTCATCAAAAATTGGCTGTAAGGGCTGAATTATTAAAGAGAGGTGTACCGGGGATATTGGATCTATTGTGTCCCTTATGCAAGCTGGAATTGGAGTCCTCCTCGCATTTATTCTTCTCTTGCATTATTGTGTGGGAATTGTGGAATAGGTTTCTGAATTTATAGAAAATATCAACTGTCATACATGAAAATGCACGCTATTTTCTTTCAGCTTGGGAGGAATTGGTGCCTCATTCAACTATTTGGACATTTATTCCTGGTGTACTTTTGTGGACAATTTGGAAGTATAGGAATGCCATTGTTTTCGAGATGGGAGTGTTTGATCCGATTCGATTGTTATTCACAGCAAGGTTCAGATTAGCATCTTGGTTCTTAGCTAAATTCACTAATATTCCCATTTCGATGGATTCCTTCATTAGTGATCCATCTCTTGGAGATTTATGTTTTGTTCTAAAAAGTCAGATAGCAAATCAGATGTCCTGGTCCCTTCCCCCTTTGGGATTTCTAAAGTTGAACGTGGATGTTGCTGTCAAAGCTGATTGGAAGGCTAAAGGTTTAGGTGAGATTCTAAGAGATGAGTCTGACACAGTGCTAGGATCTTTTCAAGAAGCTATTGGTCCGGGTCCTCCTTCTTTAATGGAATTAAAGGCCATTAAACATGGTTTAATTTCTTTGAATCTTTTAATTGGTTCTCTAAGAGACGACTGATTATTTAGAGTGATAGTAAGTTATTTGTGGAGTGCATTAAGAATTTGGATAAATGTCCAAGTTTGTTTGTTTCAATTTTTAAAGAAATTGCGGAAAAGATAAGGAACTTGGAGGGCATTATTCGTTGGATAGCTAGTAGGCCAGCAAACTTAGAGACTAACGTTTTAGCAAAGTCTGAAATTGGCTAAGTTAGGGAGTTTTGGTTGGGGTTTTTTTTTTCTTGTTTTTTGGTTTTATCTAGTGTATGGGGGTAAGTTTGGTTGTAATCATATGCATTGTACTACTCTTTTATTAATAAAATTTAACGCACTTTTTACTTCCTTACGCTGATTTCTTATGGTGTTCTAGTAATCATGAAAGGAGTTTTTAACAAGGCTTCCACTTATCAAAATAAATAATAGTCTCTTTACGGAGAGAGAGAGAGAAACATTGGTGAATTCTTAGATGAACAAATGACTCAACGGACTTCTTTCATTCTCAAGGTACTTTCCGGTTGTTTTTGTTAATGTTCTTTCATTCTCAAGGTACTCTCTCTTGTAACAATAGATGTTTGCAAGATGATGCAGCTCCTACTTTTTCTCGTGTTACATGTATTTCCTCATGGGAGTCTGCATTTTGTCCTTCTAACTGATTTCCCTCCAATGTCGTGTAACGACAATGTTATCAGGACTCAAGTGAGTATAGGATATATGTTCGTTTTCTTGTAGAAAATTTGGATGATTTCCATACTCGTGTTTGAATACGCATTGGTATTTGTATTTTAAGAAAAATAAAGATTCAGTGAAACATCTTACCCAACTTGCTTAGACAAATGAAAGTTCTTTCATAGATTCTCCTTCGGATTAGATTTGTATGTAGTTTTGAGATGCGATTGAGATTTTTCAGAGTTATATGAATATATGTTGTAATCCTCAGTGTGGCTACTGCCTTGTACCTTTCGTCCCTCCATCACCACAGGTAACGTTAACTAACCTCTTCGCTTTGATCAGCTGATTGAAAACTCAGATATTGGTCTGGATTCTCTTAATGACAAATGGACATGTAGATAGATATATTGTTGCCATCATTTATTTTGATACAATAATCATAAGATTCGAAAATCATAAAAATCATGTTTTTCAGCAATGCCTCATCCCATGTGGGGCGATGTGGGAATGGCCAGAGTTGATGCAAGTTACCTAGAATAGGAAGCTTGGGAGGGCTTGGAGGAAGATTACACTTTTTCGTGGTTAACCATAACGAAGACAGCAATAAGAGAAAGGGAATCAGCAACATTGCTATGAGAATCGGCGAATGAATAAGACTGCAAATAAGGACTTTTATTTTCTTTTCTCACTGCAAAGGATTTATTAGAAATCAGTACAAAGTAAAAGAGTTTCAACGATTTTGTCGGTTTTATTAAATAAGATCCGACAACTTTGAAAGTTTGCAAATAAAATAAATTGAGTCCACAATATTTATTTATATTCAATTTATGTAATATTTAATTTTTTATTAGCTTAAAGCGATTATAATTAATAATATATATCCGAAAGACTTTTAATCATTTGACAATAAACATTTAAATACACTTTATTTGTTGATGTTTGAAGATGAGACTCCTAATATTAACGATTATTTTTTAGTCATTAAACTTATTTGATTAGTTGATGCAATAGTTTATTTGAATTAATCAATTAATAGATTAGTTATAAATGATTATAAAAAAATGAAACTCGGGCACAAGATTGATTGTTGTCGGCGACAAGTTGCAAATAGTGCCAATGTTAGCATTCAATGAGGGTGGGGCAAAAAATCAAGTTGATTGTTACACCCCAAAACTATTGAGGTATAATTATTGGATTAAAGTAAGTTAATTTGAGGACTAAATTTTGAATTTTTGAAATAATAGGTTATTATTTCAGTTTCCAAAAAAGTTTAGGGATTTGAAGCTGATTTTACCCATCTCCCTTGGCTAGTAAAAAATAAATAAATAAAAGTAAAAACTTGTACTTGCGCAAAATACTTGAACCATTGTCCTGATGCCACCCATCCCAAGGGCCAAGACTTAGCCAACCGAACTAAGATACTATAGGTGATAGGATTTTAGTTAGATCCATTCTCCTTCGCATATTAAGTTTAGCCTTTTCTCCGGGTAACAATCAGGTTCCAGAATCTCCTTTTCTTCACAAACATCGTGCCATCGTCGTTAGTTGATCTCTGGATGACGATGGATTACACCATCACTCTCAACGTCACCGGCGACTCCCCGTAACCAAAACCCCTATAGTAATTCATCGAAAAATGTCGCTATGTGTCGGGAATCACCGTGTGAAGCCCATTGAGAATCCCAGCTCCAATATATGTTTTTCCTCAATTTTCGATGATTTCGTCGCCGATTTACTTTATCACCAACACCATCGTGACGGTTGTCCACTCTTGACCAAAACCCAACCGATCTATCGTCGTAAAGGCCCGTCATTCGTCTTAAAATGTCTGTCGAAAGTTCAGCTAGAGAACCCCCTCGTTGTTGTTGTTATTCCGTGTTTTTATTCCAATCTTGACATCAGCTTATCTCACTGCCACCACTGTTGGACTCCTCGTCCAGTCCCGGTCAAAACCTGACCAGTGGCTCACCTTATTGTCATCGTTTTCGACGTCGCCGGTGGTGGTAAGCCTGATTTCGCTTTCCCTTTTTCCCGAGTTTTGATGGATTTTTAGTGTTGTTTTAAATTGTTTTTTATGCTTGGTTGTTTTTCAATTATTCGGTCGTCGGTTGTACGCGCTATCACGCTCCTCCGTGCGTGGGGCTTGTCCTCCAGTCGAATTTTCTAGAATTGAGTGACTGAGTAAGTCAAGATAACTCGTGAGTCAACTCAAACCAGTCAAATATGTTGACCTGTTGACCTGGTCGTTGACAATTGATTTTGACTCTGACCGTGTTGATTTTGACTTTTATTAAAAAGTCAATTTTTCTGAAAAAAATTATATTTTATGTTTTTTGACATCTTGAATCTTAAATTATGGTCTGTTTTGCCAAATTCAAACATGATAAGTTTTTTTTAGTATTTTAACTTTTTATTCGAATAGTCTTCTCTATTTAGTTTTGTTTCTAACATAAATTCTTTTGCTATGTCATTGAGATATTATGGGACATTGAAATCAAGTGTGAAGGCAATCGAATGGAGTTCAATTGGTCAACCGACATGACACAAAAATCGAGGTAATACTTTATTATATTTTGTATGTTTTCCGAAATTTGTTGATAATTGATAACTGCATCGATGAAATGATTGGTCATTTAGGTATAATTAATTAGTTCTGGACTCGAAAAGAATTACGATAAAAAGATAGTAAATTGTATAAGACTCAGACAACTCGCATAAGAAACTGGAAGACTGATCAGAAATAATTATAAGTTCAGTGATTCATTAATAAATGATTGACCTCAGGACCCGTAAATTTTGATTAATTTCTTTAAAGGTTAAATATCGGGAATACTCGAATAAGAAATTATAAAAATAACCCTATGGAGTTGAAAACACTTAATTTCGACCGCATGAATTATAAATTATAATTATGTAATATTATTATAATGCATATGTTTATTTACACTTTGTTTTTTTCTCTACAGATCCAAATATTACAAGTAACCCAACAAATAAAACACATGACTCAATGGCCCAACAGTGACTAGTAACACGTGGCCCAACAATGGCCCAAAGTGAAGCACCCGATCTGGTCCACTTGTGTCTTCGCTCGAACCATCTGCAACCCTGACCGATGAACTAGGGTTTGGGAACCCTAATTTCCCATCCCTTGCTTCCAACCGTTCAAAGACCCTATGCCTCACGAGTCCTCGCTGCTCACGCTTCTCTCGGCCGGTTTTCTCGGCGTCGTGAACTCCTCAACATCAAACAACCATCAACGATGTGACTCAGAGGGATTCATTCACAACCAACCAAGCAGTGATTTAGTCCAAATAAAATGTTAAAAAGTCGGGACTAAGACTAGTATTCTTAGGCTATAAATACATGTAAACTGAACACGATTTACACACAAGGATTTCATATGAAATTACCAGAAAAATACGAGCAAATAGATAGTGACTTCGAAGCATTTGTAACAAGTTTAAAGAGAAATAAAAATGTAGTATCTTTTTTACCTTTGTTCGTTCGTTTTCTTGTTTTTGCATTTTGAATATTGCTTGAGATTTGGCTTGGAAACGACCAAAAAAAAGGTTTGGCCGATGACTTTGGGGTGGAGTTTTTCAAAACTTCGAAATTAGATCTACCCCCGAGGCCTATTTTTTTTCAAAAAAACTATTTTGGTTTTCGTAATGTGGAGGGGATGGGCTTTCGAAAAACAAAACAAAATCAAATTTTACCGCCGATGAACGGCGACCGGCACCATTCAACGACGACGGTGAGGCGGGCACGGTGGCCGGATTCTGGGTTCATGAAGAACCTATGGCCGTGTTCATCCGTTTGGATGAACAAAGCAGAGAAAAAGAGAGATTGGGGGAGGCTCTCGTGTGAAGAAGAGAAAAATGAAGTTTAAAAAAATTGGCTTATATATTAAGCCCGTTGGATCTGCGTGTTGACCTGACCCGGAACCTCTGACCCGCATGTTTTTAAACAAAAATAGGTTAATTCCGTTTTGATCCCCCCTCATTTTAAAAAGCTTCTATTTTGACCCCAATTCCGCTTGAAATCGGTCTCTAATTTTGTTTTTCTTTCAATTTGGCAGCACAACTTTCTTTTTAATTTAATTTAATCCTTTTATTATTATTTATATTATTTATTTTGTTATATATACATTTTTTATATATTTATTTTGTATACCTATTATTAATATATATATATATATATTAATTATATTTATTAGGTTATTTTTTATTTAAGTACTATATTTTATAATATTATATATATATTTCTATTAATTTGCTATATTTTTATTACCATTATATTATATTTATTTTCTATTTTTTATTGATATTATTGTTGTTATATATACATTTTATTACTATTATTATATATATATTCTACACACATTAATTATATCTACCTACTTTGACCCCTCACTCTATTTGTTTTTTCTTCATATCATATCTCTGTAACATATTTTTTGACTTTTAAAGGGTACGTTTTCAATCAATCAGAGGAAGCAATTTGGGTCGTTATTTTACCTTTTAAGTTAAACTTTCAATTTTCTTAATTAAAGACAACTGGAAACTACATAGTACCGAAAGGGCAGTTCAAGGGTGCTAACCCTTCCTTGACTGTAACCGACTCCCGAATCCGAAATATCACTGGTAAGACGCAGATCAGGTAAGAAATAAGATATCCGATCAACCCGTTTTATTCTTAAAATAAATGATCGGTTGTGACTCCTAATCTATTTTCCTAAGTCGAAGGCCAATTTCGAGCCCACCTGAAAGGCGGTTCCAACAGCTTAGCGACTCCGCTGGGAACACAAGTAAGTGAGTCAGGCTAAGGTAATTTCCAGTTGTCTTTTTAACGAAAAGGGTAAGTTTAAATTTTAAGGTAACATTTCGATCCTTATTGCTTACTTTTGATTATATTTTCGAGTAAATAGTTGTACTAACCGTTTTCTAATGATTTCAGCCTTCCAAACTCGTTTTTCACTTAAGGCTCTAAACCCGAGCTCCGAACCCGTTTCTAAGTGGGGGGGTGAAAGCAGCACTCTCGTGGGAATTTATTCTCCGTATGGGCCTAGCAAGTAACCTTCGGGATTCATATACCTTATGTTTTCGTGTGAATTTATTCTCCGTATAGGCGTAATAGAATTTTTCCTCTCGAGTTTAACTTAGTCCACACAAGCTTGTAATGGGCTTAGGACTAAATATCTGGCAGGGCCAAGGGGGCACCGGCAAGGAGAACTCGGGTACCGTTTTTTAGAACCTAAACCGGGAGACTATAGAGAAATAGAGCCTACCTCGAAACCCCATTTCAAACCCTAAGACATTTTTACCCTAACCATGCAGTTTTCTTCTTTCTTATTTACCTATTTCTTTTCATTATTATTATTCTTATTTTTACTGACTTTTTTCTTTTGTGTTTGTTTTTTTAGCATTTGCACTATAAAAGAGTCTATTGATCCCTAAAAAGAGTTTGTTACACTCAAATAATCTGAATTAATGGACAGAGGTGTTGTAATACAAGAGATAAAAAACGCTGAGGCACGACTATGGTCTGAGAAGACTCAGAGAGAGAAGAGAGACAGTCTTCAGGGAAGCTATGTGTCAGAATTGGTCAGTTATGCCTCTTTCAGTCTGAAGCAAAACGATGTCCAAGAGTTACAAAGTATTTGAGACAGTTGGAAAAGTGACAGAAAGCAGAAGTTCAACCAACGGTATGGTGTATCACACTCTTACTCCATGTCAAGATAGACACCTTGATCATAGCCTTAATTTAGTTCTGGAATCTGGGGTACAGTTGCTTCACCTTTAACCGGGAAGACATGGTGCCCACTATCGAGGAGTATACTACATTGTTGCACTGTGAGAACATCAGACTAGAGCGAGGATATATTAAGCATCTCAAGAGTCAACCTTTCAAAAATGGGTTAGCCAAAGTTGCAGGAGTAAACGAGAAATGGGTAACTGATCGGACTCAGCGCAGAGGCACCGGAGAAGAAATTCCTTGGGTTGACATCAAGCAACTAATGAAGAACCACCATGATGAATGGAATACTATAGACCTTTTTGTACTGGGTATGTACGGTTTGATTATTTTTCCGAAGACTTTGGGTGCATCGACACAGTCGTTGTGGAACTATTTGAACAAAATTTGAGGTGATTCAACCCAGTACCAGCCATCTTAGCTGAAACCTTTTGATCTCTCAACCATTGCAGAAGAACTGGAAGAGGAAGGTTCATTAAGTGTGCTCAGCTCCTTCAAGTATGGATTCACAACCACTTCTGGAAGACTAACGTGGTTGTCTATCGTCGATTCAGTACCACTTATTCACCTTTAGGTGAATTCATCACTTTGAAATGGCATGAAGGTTTCTCGAAGTAAAAATGGATTAAGGTATTCACGCATCTTCGGGACCGGGATATTGCCTGGAGAGCCCTCTGGTTGTTCCTCAGTGACGTTCTTTTCTGGCGTGGGGATTCTGATACTATGACTCTACTTGGACTATGGGGTGGAGTTGGATATTCTCTGCTTTTGGTACTTAGACAATATGGGGCACGTCAGTTTGTCCCAGTAACATACGAACTAACTGGATCAGAGTTTATGTACTATGGAGAAAACTACAAAAAGATGATCAAAGAGGTAGCCGAGTCGTGACAGAAAGTGTTCCGGATGGATATCGTGGCTGCCAAAGATATGCTTACTCCGGATTATTTGGAGTGAAGAAGATTAAGGAAGAACGAAAACATCCCGGTGCCAGACTGTGAGGACACCCAGACCATAGAGGAACATCTCAGGCATGTCTCTTCCGAGCTTGAGATAGCAAAGGCAGAGTTTGAAGCTGTGAATAATGAGTTGAAGCTGAAGGTAAGGGAACTTGAAGCTAAACGCTATCAGTGGAAGCTAGATACCGACACTCAGAAAGATCGGGTAGACAAGCTGGAGAAAGAACAAAAGATAGTTTGTTTCGAGCTCGAAGACTTGAGAAAGGGGTATCAAGATAAAGTCAATGATAACTCCAAGTTGAAAATAACCTCTGAATACTGGAAGAACGAAGCTCATAGCCTAACAAGGAAGTTCGAGGGACCCGATGAGAGAGCTTTGAAGGAGCAACTGAAGACTGCTCAAAGGCGCTTATCAGACAGTCAACATCAGAACCAATGCTTGAGAATCAGGGTGGCTGATTTAGAGAAACAACATGAGAGAGATGGCAAGACAATAACTGAGTTAGAAGCTATTGTAGATGGGTTCAAGAAGCAAGCGAGCGAGCTTCAGATAATTCCTTTTGACAGAGGTTTACAGTGGTGTTTCCGTTGGGAGCAAGCATATCAAAGGGTGAAGACCAGAGATGCAGTCATCCAAGATTTTATGGATCAATTACAGAAGGTAGCCATCATCTACACGGCATGACAAGGGAAGCTGGAGTGGTTCGACAAGGCATTCAACCAGTGACAGATAAAGGCATAAGACTTGTCAACCTACTAGAAGATGTTCGGGGTCTGGAGGATTTAGTCTGGATGTACCTATGATTGTTTTTATGTCTCTTAAAAGATAAAACATTTTTGTCTAAATAAGGATTATTTATAATAATTGACACTTTTCTGGATTAATGCCTCTAAATTGCATACACATCATGCATTGCATTCCTTGTATTTTATATTTCATGTTTATTTTTATATTTTTCATGTTTTTACATTCATATTAACTAACAGAATATGTCTTAGAAAGAGAAAGAGAAAACACCAAGTTTACCACTGCAAGAATTAGATACACATCATTCACATAATACTCGAGCAAAGAAGAGACAAATGGAGGCAAGAATCGAAAAAATCGAAGAAAACATGGCAAAATTACAAAAGAAGCTGGAAGATAAAATGACTCAGAACAGTAAGAGTACCCTGGATTCCATCATGATAAGCCAAGAGTCCTTAGTCGACCAAATCGTGGCTAAGTTGTCTGGTTTACAACAACAAGCAAGTGCACCAGGAGTAGGTGCGTCTGAGGGGGTAACTATACCACCAACCCCACAAGTGGTTATTTCACCTGGATTTCAAGGGGACTCATCTGCTACTAAAGGGAAAGTTGTATCAGTTACAAATATACAAACTTCTTCAACCAACCCTGACAATCATCCGGACGATTGCCCTATCCCGGATTTTGACGATGAGGATAAGGCAAAGAAGATGGAAGAAAATATCAGAATATTAGAAGACCAGATGAGGATGGTCAAAGGGGACCATGAATACTATAGGGTGGATGCAATGAAGCTGAGCTTGGTTCCTGATTTATTGCTTCCACCAGAATTCAAAGTCCCAGAGTTTGAGAAGTTCGACGGGAACAACTGCCCTTCAGCCCATATCACTATGTTCTGTCGGAAGATGACATGATATATGAGGGAAATGACCAACTCATGATCCATTGCTTCTAGGA